TATCTCGACAGGGTGGAGAAATGGAGAAGGGATTGCATGTGACCATTCCTCATTGTGGGGGGAGGTGCTTTCTCCCTCTTTGTCTCTCTGGCAAGCTCATGCACCTTCTGACTGTGTATACACACACACGTGTACATATTTATAATCATTCTTCTAGATTTGTCTGATTTTTTTTCTTTTGTTGGTCAGTTATATTACTTTCATAAAATATATTTATACCGGGCCAACAGGTGGTGTGGTGGTTATAGTGCTAGGCTCCCACTTGGCTGTGGTTCGAGTCCAGACCTGGTAGCTTGCTTTCTCACTTTCTCTTCTCTCTAGTGAGCACATGTGCCCCACAGCAAATTTTTAAAAATAATAATAATAAAAAAAATTTTTTTTCAAAATTTTATTATTATTTTTACTGTAGGGCATGTGTGCTTGCTGGAGAGACAGAAAGCAAGAAATCACCCCCAGGGGTGATGGCCATGCCACAATCCCTTCTTCATTCTCCTCTTAGCATCTTGGGCACACACCTACATGCCTGGTGTGAGTTTCAAGCTGCCAGGACTAGAACCACGGTAAGCCCCATGGGAGTCCAGCGCCTTAACTACTACGACACCTGCTAGCCCATAAATAATTCTTTTAAAATGTATATATTAGGTTGTCAAGAAAGTCATGGCATATTTTTTATGCAAAATTCAGCAGATAGTGTAATGGTTACATCACTGAACTCCCACATAGTCAACCATGGTTCAAGTCCCAGATCCAGCAGCTTAAAACTCACTCTGTGTGTGTGTGTGTGTGTGTGTGTGTGTGTGTGGGGGAGTGTCCAAAATCCTGAGAGGAGAATGGAGGATAAGGGATTATGGCATGGCCATTATCCCAAGGGGTCATTTCTCACTTTCTATCTCTTTCTCTGATGAGCACACAGCACACGCATACTATAGCAAAAATCTCTCTAAAAATAAGTAACATTTAAAGAGAAAAATAGTCACGATTTTTCCAATGACCCAGCATATATATTTATACTTTTAAATCCTTCGTGTTCTAAAATAAGACTTACTAAAGAAATCAAAAGGAAGACAGTCTTCTCCCCTTCCATGGGTCTTAGTTTTGTGGTTTAGGTTGTAATTAAGGTTAATGTCCTGCACCTTAGCTATTATTCTTCATTATGTCCTATAACTATATTTTCTTCTTCATCTTAGACTTTCTGTTTTTATTTTTTGTAATATCTATAGGGAAAATACTTTAGCTCTCAAAGTCGTTGCTTAGTATTTGTTAAGAAATGTGACGCACTTACAATGCTTTCACAGTATTTATCGGTGAAATCAGTATATTTCGTTCAACCTTTGGAAAACAGCGTAACAATACTCTTAGGGTTCCTAAAATTCATGTGGATGTTGGAAAAATCTGTATGAACTTTTTAAAATTATTTATCTTATTTTATTATTTTTTATATTTGCTGTAGGACACATGCTCTCACAAAGGAAAGAGAAAAAAAGTGAGAAAATAAGCCGCCAGATCTCTGGCCCCTGTAAGGAGTTTTTAAAAGTATATTTTCGGGACCAGCAGTTAGCGTAATGGCTATGTCGCTGGACTCCCACGTAGTCGACCGTGGTTCGAGTCCCGGACCCGGTGGCTTAAACTCACGCTGGGCGCGTGTGCGTGCGTGCCCAAGATCCCAAAAGGAGAATGGAGGAGAAGGGATTGCAGTGTGGCCATCCCCCTTGGGGGGTGATTTCTCGCTTTCTGTCTCTCTCTGTCTGTCTGGTGAGCGCATGTGCCCTATAGCAAAAAACCTCTCCAGAAAAAAAAAAAAAAAGAAGAAAATAAAAAGTATCTTTTCAGGGCCAGTAGGTGATGTGGTTAAGACGCCAGACTCCTGCATGACTTAACTGCAGTTTGAGTCCCAGACCTGGCAGCTTACTTTCTCTCTAGTGATTGATGTGTCTTGTAGCAAATTGAAAGATAATTAATAAATGTAAAATATTTTTTAAAGTGTATTTTCAGAATCAAAGGTTAAACTTAGAAGCAATACCTAATGTGTTTTCCACACTATTTCTGCTTAGTTTGGAATGTTAATCTATTATAACAGATTTCTCAACCAGTTAAAGTCCTTGTAAATTAGTTTAATAGCTGTGCAATAGTCAAGTTTTATTTTACTGGAAGCTTGCCATTTTAAAATGCTTCATCTCTCTTCAATTTTTCTCTTTTTTAAACTTGCTAGAGATTGTGTATTCTCACTGGAGAGAAACGTAAGAAGGTGGAGTGAGAAAGCATCCCCTTACCGGGGGATGGTCACACCCTAGTCCCTTCCCCCCCATTTCTCCTTTTGGTACTTGGGCACACACACACATGCACCTGGTGTGGTTTTCAAGCTCTTGGATCTGGGACTTGAACCACACTGTCGGCTATGTGGGGACCAGCTGCCTTAACCACCATGCCACCAACTGCCCCTCAATGGTTATTTTATGAGAGATGTTTTTCTGTGTTTATTTGAACACAGGCTGGGACATTTAGCATGGCAAAATTTTTATGTTGTTTTTAGTTTTTTTTCTGAAAGTTTTATCTTTCTTTTTGGGGGGAAGAGATTTTTGCTACAGGGCACATGTACTCGCTGGAGAGACAGAGACAGAAAGTGAGAAATCACCCCCCGAAGGGAGATGGCCACACCGCAGTCCCTTCTCCATCCTCTTCTCAGGATTTTGGGCACGCATGCACATGCACCCTGTATGAGTTTGAAGCTACCGGGTCTGGGTCTCGAATTGAAGTCAGCCGTGTGGGAGTGCAGCGATGTAACTGTTATGCCATCTATTGGTCCCAGAAAGCAGTTTTACCTTTCTAATCACATAAATAGGTCCTAATATGAATTTAACTGGTATCAGTGACTTTGGTACCATTTCCTCTGATTGATTATGTCAGTGAATACTTTCAAGTTAACTGTTGACATTATGGAAAGAACCCAAAGGAAGTGAGCCAGTGCAGCCATGTCCAAATGTGTCCTCTGATGTCATGATAGGAGTGAGATAAAGTATTTAAACTTCACTCCAGGTTTCCCTTGACTATTATACAAGTATATAAGATGTAGCCAGTGCTGCCTGTGGCAACACTGTAGATTAGGCCAGGTTTGCATTTCTTAACTTTTTGGGAGGTGACCTGATTGGTTAGTGGAGAGTTACACCCGTAGTCTGACTTCAGCTGTGCTATGTAGGGATATGACATGGGCAGTCACTTAACATTTTCTAGCCATTTTCATAAATTGAGTCCAGTACTCAAAACTCACTCAGCCACTTCTAAGTCCAGTGCCTTAACCACTACCCCCTGGTGGCCGCAGGTAGAACTCTTACAGTGTTCCCTGACCATTTTAGGGACTAGAAGAAAACAATGATAGTTTTTCTTATTTTTATTTATTTAAAAAAAAAATTTTAGAGAGGTTTTCGCCATAGGGCGTGTGCACTCGCCAGAAAGAGAGACACAGAGAGACAACAAGCGAGAAATCACCCCCCAGGGGGGATGGCCACACAGCAATCCCTTCTCCTCCAGTCTCTTCTCGGGATCTTGGGCACGCATGCACACGCGCCCAGCGTGAGTTTAAGCCCCCGGATCCAGGACTCGAACTGCGGTCGACTACATGGGAGTCCAGCAACATAGCCATTATGCCAACTGCTGGTCCCCCTCAAATAAATTTAACATGGAACTCTTAAATATCTTGAGCAATCTATATCTTGTGCTGGAATATCTGATTGCTCATTGAGACATAGGTTCTCTAGACTCAATCAGCATTATCTTGTTTCATAAGTAATGGAACTTTTTTTTTTTTCTCAATGGTACACACATTCACTGGAGGACAGGGAGCAGGAGGGAGAAATGGAGAAAGCAACCCACTTGGGGATCATCATGCCACAGTCCCTTCTCCATTTCTGCTGTTGGGATTTTGAACCCATGTGCTCACACATGGACACAGCACGTTTTTTTAAGCTTCTGGGTACAGGGCAGCTGTAGTCAGTCAGCTCTGTGGGATCCGGCTACCTTACCCCCACACATGGACACAGCCTGTTTTTTTAAGCTTCTGGGTACAGGGCAGCTCTAGTCAGCTCTGTGGGATCCGGCTACCTTACCCACTATGCCATACCACTGACTGCCATGCCCTATTTATAAAGTTTATATTTGTTAAAAATACTTGACATACACAGGCCGGCAGGTGGCGTGGAGATTGGGGCAGATAGATCCCACCTGGCCAAAAGGAGTTCGATTCCAGCCCCAGTGGCTTGAAAGACAACATTGGGTGCGTATGCGTATGTGCCCAAAATTCTGAGAAGAGGAAGGATTGTGGCCAATCCTCACTCGGTGATGAGTTCCCACTTTCCCTCTTTCTGTTTTTCTCCTGGCAAGTACACATGCTCTTAGAAAGTAGTACCTGATGTACAATGCTCTAACCTCCTTTATTTATGTATGTGTGAATTTCGTGTAAGTTTAAATATTTTTCCATCTAAGCTTTGTTCCCCTTTTTCCTGTATATTTGTATAATTCTAGGCAGCTGTCCCTATTAACACTTCAATACCAGGCATGGTGACATGTGCCTATAATCTCAGCTATGGTGAGGGAGGCTGAGCAGGAAGACTGTGAGTTCAAGGCTGGCCTGGGCAGCATAGCAAGACCATGTCTCTAAAAATAAATTGAAGTAACAAAATTCTCAGGAGACTTACAGTAAAATTCTAGGTAACAATTTGAGTTATTTGAAAAAGGGAAATTTATAACAATACAAATAAGGCAAACTGAAAGAAATTTAAGCAAGACAAAGGAAAGTAAACAATATTCACTGCAGCGTGTCCCAAAAAAGTAGGAAAATTGTAAGTGTAGCTTGAAAAAATAGTGTTGGAGATAACAATACAGAATAACGAATGATACTTAAGACAGCTATAAAAGCCCACTTGCCTTTTGCATGTTTTGAATTTAACAGGTGATGGATATATCTCACTTAGGCTGTTTTTCCAGTAATGATAGTTTTCTTTTTCAAGATGATGATTATTCTCCACCCACCAAGAGACCAAAGAGCAATGAACCGCCACAGCCACCAGTTCCAGAACCTGCCAACGCCGGAAAGCGAAAAGTGAGGGAGTTCAACTTTGGTGAGTTCCCGATTAAATATACGACAAATACATGACCGTTTCCTTCATTTTCCTTTGGACTCTTTCTATTACTGATAAAAGCTGTATCATTCTACATTTTAAAGCACTTACTTAAAGGAAGTACTTTAAAATGTAGTTTTACATTGCAGTTTAAGGCTGTACTTGCAGGGGTCATTTCTGTAGTCTGTGCGTTACAGTTTAATATGTGGAAAGCGGGGCAGTTTGAGGTAACAGACATTATGTAAACCTGGTTTACACTTACAGAGCACAAAACACTGTCTTCTGATATTAGTTACTGTTAGGAGACTCTAAATTAGCTTAACAATTTAGTAATGTAGTTATTTCTCTTAGCTTTCAAATCATCTTTTTTGTTTTGCTTTTTGTTTTTTTAGAGGTTTTTGCCTTAGGGCACGTGCATTCTTGGGTGAAAGAGGTGGAGATAGTGAGAAGGGAAATGGGAAATTACCCCCCGGGGGGATGACCACACTGCAATCCCTTCTCCTCCCAGGACCTTGGGCACACATGCACACGCGCCCAGCATGATTTTGAAGCCACCAGGTCTGGGACTCAAACCACAGTCGGCAATGTGAGAGTTCAGCAGCATAACCACTATACCATCTGCTAAGCCCAAAATCTTCTTTATTCAGACATATTTTACACTGTAATTTTTTTTTTTACTCTGTGTAACTGCCAGCTGCTAGTCTAACGTTCATTATGTGTCCTATTGAAGGGACAAATTATGTCTGTGATCTGTATTTTGAATAAATAGAGCATTTAATTTCTTTCTTTCTTTTTTCTTTTTTTTTTGGAGAGGTTTTTGCTATAGGGCATGTGTGCTCACCAGGAAGACAGACAGAGACAGAGAGACAGAAACCGAGAAATCACCCACCCAAGGGGGAAGGTCATGCCACAATCCCTTCTCCTCCATTCTCCTCTCAGGATCTTGGTCACACATGCACCCAGTGTGAATTAAAGCCACTAGGTCCAAGACTCGAACCACAGTCAGCTATGTGGGAGTCCAGCAACATAGCCATTATGCTAACTGCTGGTCCTGAGAACAGCATTTTTTTTAAGAGAGATTTTTGGTACAGAGCATGTGTGCTCACCAGAGAGACAGAATGAAGCAGAAAAACAAAAAAGCGAGAAATCACTTCCCAGGGGGGATAGCCACCAATCCCTTTTCCATTCTCCTCTCGGGATTTTGGGCACGCATGCACCAGCACCCGGCATGAGTTTTAAGCTGCTGGGTTTGGGACTCAAACTCAGTTGACCATGTGGGAGTACAGCAAAGTAACTATTACACCACCTGCTGGTCCTGAAAAGAGCATTTTAAAAATTTACTTATTTTCCTAATAAAGAGAGACAAGCACACTTGCAGCAGGCTCACTACACTGCAGTCCATCCCCAGTCTCGGCCTGCCCAGGTCACGGGTACACGTGCCTGTTGTGCTCAGCAAGGTCCCGGGATGCAAACAGAGCCTTTCTGTTCCAGTGTTTACTGCTACACCACCCCGACTGAAATTTAGTATTTTAATATTCTATTTTTTGGGTTCACCCTATAGCCTAATTACTAAGGAAAGAAGATCCTACATGGTCAACCATGGTTCAAATCTTAGCTCTGGCAACTTGAAAAGGACGGCGTGCGTGCGTGCGTGCGTGTGTGTGTGTGTGTGTGTGTGTGTATGCACACAACATGCGTGTCATGATCACACCCCATTGAGGGGCAGTGCTTTTCTCTTTCTTTCTCTCTCTGGTAAGCACACATGCCCTCCCGCAATTAAAAATTCTGATTTCATAATAGGCACCATTACAGGGTGTAAATTGAATGTCTTTATATATTTTAAGTTTATATATGTTTATAGCCTTTAGCATTCTAACTAAGTTGCAACGATGTATTTATAAATTCTTATTTCCATAAAATTAAGACATGTTTTGGAAGGTTTTTTAAGTGACCCCAAGAGATCTCCCTTTTTGCCTCCATTTTATAGTTTTACTTGGTTTTTTATGTCCTCTGCTTTGCAGAAATTAAAAGATTAAAAGAGATACTGTACTTTAAAACATCTTTTATAATCTCCCATTGAACTAATTTCCTAATCCACATACAGGGCCAGCAAGTGGCACTGGATTCCCATATGGGTGACCACAGTTTGAATCCCTGACCTGGTGGCTTGAAAATCATGCTGGATATGTGTGCATGTGTACCCTAACTCCTGAGAGGAGAGTGGAGAAGGGATTGTGGTGTGGCCATCTCCTCTGGAGGGTGATTTTACACTTTACCTCTCTCTCTCTCTCCAGGCAGTGCAGACATGGCAAAAACCTAAAAATAAAAATAAAAAACAAAGAAGTGGAAAAAATTCTTAGGGAAGAAATAAAATTTTATTAAGATGTTTCTGTTAGATATATTATGTAGAAAATGAGACCAGCAGTTGGCATAATGGCTATGTCGCTGGACTCCCATATAGTTGACCACAGTTTGAGTCCCGGACCCGATGGCTTAAACTCATGCCAGGCGCATGTGCGTGCGTGCCCAAGATCCTGAGAGGAGAATGGAGGAGAAGGGATTGTGGCGTGGCCATCCCCCCTGGGGGGTGATTTCTCTCTTTCTATCTCTCTGTCTCTCTCTGTCTTTATGGCGAGCGCACATGCCCTATAGCAAAAACCTCTCAAAAAAAAAAAGAAGAAGGGTCGATAGGTGGCGTAGTGGTTAAAGGCGCTGGACTCCCACATGGCCGACCTCAGTTCAAGTCCCAGACCTGGCAGCTTGCTTTCTCACTTTCTCCCTTACTCGCTCTCACTCTATCCCTCTATGGTCAAATAAAAATAAATAAAGATAAATAAAATAATTAAAGAAAAAGCAAATGGGCCATTAGATGTTGGGACATTTTCAGAATATACTAATGCTCCCAAATAGGGAATTTTTAATTGAAAATTAACTTTATCTCAATTTTCAGAGAAATGGAATGCTCGCATTACAGATCTTCGTAAACAAGTTGAGGAGTTGTTTGAAAGAAAATATGGTATGTCTATAAATTGAAAAATTATTTTAATACTTTGTTCATAAGCATGTTAACAGTGGAGTTGTTTGTTGTTGGAAGGTAATGTGGTTCTGTCAGTAAGCTGTGTTTACACATCTCCTTTCTAAGTCATTTACATGTCTGTCCAAACTGGGAACTTTTTGGAAGGAAGTCTGTTCTTTAATTATCAGTTAGCATTTCTTTGGGCCTTTTAGCATGCATATTTGGGGATTTATTTATGTATGTATTGTAGAGTTCTAGATCTTGGAGATTTAATTGAGAATTATTTCCTTAAATAATAGCTTCTCTTTGTTTACTGTATTAGATCCTTTATTCCTCGAATGCCCTTACTGCCTCATCTCTTACTATTGCTGAGTTTAAGTTGGTACATTCTCCTTTGCACTTTTATTTTCTTATTCTATCGTACATCTACCTTTACAATGATGAAAGAAACGTGGCAATTCTTTATCATCACCTGATAGTTTATATCAAATTTGTTCCTAAAATTAGCAATTATAATTTTAAAGCATCTGTTTTGGTGTTTTGTTTTGCTTCTTTTTGATGATAGAGTAAGCATGTGTACATGGAGAGGGGGACGGTAGAGAGGAAGGACACACAGTCAGTAGGGTCTCATCATGCTGTGATTTCCTTCCCTCCACCCTCTTGCTCCTCAGATATTCTGGGCACCTAACCATGTGCCCTGCATGTTTTTTAAGCCAGCCCATGATCCAAACCACAGTCACCATATGACCTGCAGTGTTAGCACTGAGCCACAGTGGCTGGCCTTGTTTTGCTGTTTTTAATTTGGATGGCTATTTACCTTGCAGTTAAATGGGGAGCTATGAAAATGTATAACACATGGGCTAGTAGGTGGCATGGTAGTTAAGGCACTGAGTACTCCCACATGGTCAACCATGGTTCAAGTCTCAGACCTGGTGGCTTGCTTTCTCACTTTCCTTCTCTCTGTGTCTGTCTTTTTCTGGTCAAATTAAAATGAATAAATAAAATTCAATAAATAATTATGTAAATAAAAAGGAAATTGGATAGCAAAATTTTGTCTTGAAAATCTAATAGCTATCATGCTATCGTGCCCTACAGAAATTACGTGATGGTTTAACATGATAAAATGATATTGGGGGGCTCTTTGGTCTCAGCCACAGAAGTAAGATGACGAAGAGAATGTCACCCTTTGGAAAGCCTTGCAATGACATGCACACGTTGTGTTGCCTCTGTGGTTCTAAGGCCTCCCACTTTCAGAAGTCGCCCTGTGGCAAATGTGGCTGGCTACTCTGCCAAGCAGCAGAGAGTGTAACTGGAGTGCCAAGGGTAAAAGATGAAATACCACTGGGACTGGTCGGAAGAAGCACTTAAAAATGGTATACCGCAGATTCGGATGTGGATTCCGCGAAGGAACTACACCTAAACCCATAGGCCAGCTGTTGCAGCATCCAGTTCATCTTAAGGATTTCAATGATTAGTTAGGCAATAAATCTTCTGGTTTAAAAAAAAAATAAAACTGGTGGGGGCAGCAGGAGGCGTGGTGGTAGTGAAGGTGCTGGATTCCCACATGGTTGACCATGGTTTGAGTCCTGGACCTGACAGCTTGCTTTCTCACATTTGCTCTCTCTTGTCTCTGTATTTCTCCGGTCAAATTAAAAAAATAATAGTGATGAATAAAATTATGTAATTCTTTAAAACAAACAAACAAAAAACCTGGTGGGCCAGATGGTAGCATAGTAGTTAAGGTGGCTAGATCCACATGGCTGACTGTGTGGTTTGAGCCCTGGAACTGGTTGTTTGAAAAACATGCCAGGCATGCATGCCTAAAATCCTGAAAGGGAGAGCTGAAGGAAAAGGGATTTCAGTGTGAACACCCCCCAGGGTGGGGCGCTTTCTCACCTTCCCTTTCTCTGTTGAGCACAGTGCCTTCTAGCAAATTTTCTTTAAAAATCATTTTGGCATTGTTTGCATTAATATACTTGAAATGAACATTTGTTGCTTAATCATGGGTAACAAACTACCCACCATTAAAAAATCAAGAATTAACAGTAAATTTGCTAATAAATCCAATAACTTCCCCATAACATTTTTAGTTTTTATTCAGGTTCTCTTAGTGTTTCTCCCACTTTTCAATCACTTAAAATTTTTGGCCAGTGTTTTCATTTCATCTATAATATGTCTAAGCAAAATTACTCATATTCTACATGGAAGCACTTTTAAACAATTATTGCAGATTATATACTTGTACAGGTATTGAGTGGCATCTTAGAAATGGAATTTTTGGGTCAAAGTCAATATGAATGTTAATTTTTTTTTTTTTAAGATTTTTTTTTTTGCCAGAGGGTATGTGCCCTAAGTATCACCTATCAATGTCGTAGTCAACTTAATAGTCACCCTTTTAATCTCATCACAAGCAAATTTTTTCCTTTTCTTTTTTTTGAAGAATTATTTTTTATTTAACTTTATTTCTTTGTTCATTTATTTATTTATTTTAATTTGACCAGAGAAGAACAGAGTGAGCTAGAGCAAGAGAGAGAGAGAGAGAGAAAGTGAGAAAGCAAGCCGCCAGGTCCAGGACACAAACTGCAGTCGTCCATGTGGGAGTCCAGCGCCTTAACCACATGTCACCTGCCGCCGCTCCATTTTTTTAAAAAGAGAATTATTTATTTAATTTATTATTATTATTTTAATTTGGCTATAGGGCATGTGAGCTCACCAGAGAAAGACAGAGAAAAAGAGAGGGAAAGTGACAAGGCAAGCCACCAGGTCCAGGATTCCAACCGCAGTCAAACCATGTGGGTGGGAGTCCAGCATCTTAATCACCATACCACTTCCTGGCCCCCCAGATTTTATAGTGTGAGATGTTGGGGCACATTCAAACCACAGCAGCAACTCTTTTGGTGACTGCCTTAGGGAGGCGTATTTTTATTATGATATATAAATATAATATCTAGATTTAGTGTATCAACCAAGGATGTTAAACTCAGCATTAATGTGTGACATGGTATATTTGGGTTAAATTTCAGTGCCAATATTAATATTTAGCACATAGACTTCTATATACAATGCCAGCAAAATAGTGAAGTTGTTACTACTCATTATATTTGATCTCTAATATTATTCATGCTTTTGCATTTTTATAGATGTATTATTTTACTCTGGAGCAAATAAATGTTAAGGGTTTTCATAGTTCAGGAAAATTGGCTTCTGTTATTTAAAAGAAATCCTTTATAAATCTAATAATAGTTATACTTTCAAAACTTTGTCTTTTTAAAAAATAATTATTTCTCAACTTAATTTATTTTGTTTATTATTATTTATTTTTAAATTTGATCAGAGAAAAACAGAAGGGAGAGAAAGGGAAAGTGAGAAAGTAAGCCACTAGGTCCAGGACTTGAACCATAGCTGACCATGTGGCAGTCCAGCACTTTAACTGCCACACCACCTGCTGGCTCTCAAAGCTTTGTTTTAAAAATACTGCTTCTCAGGACCAGCAGATGGCATAAGGTTACTTCACTGGACTCCACGTAGTCAATCATAGTTTGAGTCCTAGACTCAGCAGCTTAAATTTCATGCCAGGCAGGTATGCATATGTGCCCAAGATGCCAGGAGGAAAATGGAGGAAAAGGGATTGTGGCATGGCCATCCCCCCATCCCAGGGGGTGATTTCTTGCTTTCTGTCTTTTGTTTCTCTCTCAGGCAAGTGGATGTGCCCCATAGCAAAAATCTCTCAAGAAAAAGAATTGCAGGAGCCAGCAGTTAGCGTAATGGCTATGTCGCTGGACTCCCACATAGTCAACCGCGGTTCGCGTCCCGGACCTGGTGGCTTAAAACTCAAGTCGGGTGCATGTGCGTGCGCGTGCGTGCCCAGGATCCCGAGGGGAGAGTGGAGGAGGGGGGATTGTGGCATGACCATCTCCCCTTGGGGGTGATTTCTCGCTTTCTGTCTCTATGTCTCTCTCTGTCTGTCTGGCGAACACAGGCGCCCTATAGCAAAAAACCTCTCCAAAAAAAAAAGAAAAAGAATGACTTCTCTTCCATTTTAGCCTATACAGGGGGTCTTCATAGAGTTCATAGAAAATTCACATTATGAAAAAAATGCATGGATTTAAAATTATTTTTTCAGAATAAACTCATATTTTAATTCCATATTTCTACAAACCGAAGTCCCCTCTTATGTATTAATTGATCGGTTAACTAGTGTGTTCTTCTGGCTTCATAGTTTGGTTCAGGTTGTAATAGAAAATCCTACTGTATGCACGTTGTCTTAAAGTAATGGACTGTTACTGCAGAGGCAGTAAATGGCACGCACTGGCATCTTTGGCATTCTCTTTAGCTCTTTTGTACTGTTTGTCTTGTGATTCAATGACAGTAGTAAAGATCAAATTATAAAAGTTAAAGAGCAACAGATATGTAGTTATTGTTTTGTACAAACTATGCTTAAGTGATGATTCCTTTCTCTTCCTTCCTTAAAGCTCAAGCTATAAAAGCCAAAGGTCCAGTGACGATCCCATACCCCCTTTTCCAGTCTCATGTGGAAGATCTCTATGTAGAAGGACTTCCTGAAGGAATTCCTTTTAGAAGGCCATCCACTTACGGAATTCCTCGCCTCGAGAGGATACTACTTGCAAAGGAAAGGATCCGATTTGTGATTAAGAAGTAAGACTCTTAAACTCTTCCTGGACTTCTGTGAGGTTCTCTTCTTTATTCTGATTAGTGCATCTTTTTTACTGTTGGCAAATATTCATTAACCAGTAGAGCCATATTTAAACTATAATTAGAGTTTGCATTGTACATACTTGTATATATATATTTATATACTTATACATTTTTAAGAATTATTTTATTAAACAGTATTTATTTTAATAGTTCTAGAGAGAGACACACACACACACACACACACACACACACACAGAGAAAGAGGGAGGGCAAGTGAGAAAGCAAGTCTCCAGGTCCGGCACTCAAACCACAATTGGCCATGTGGGAGTCCAGCACCCTTAACTACCATACCACCTGTCAGCCCCCATACTTATATTTCTTACTTGTTAATTTATCTGTGTGCTATCAGTTGGCTTTTAGAACATGAACACCTGCCTAAACCTAACTGGCAGTCAGCTGCCTTTTTTCTTCACAATTTTATACTAAGTTTGCTGAAGAAAACCATACAGTATCATCTTGTTTTTAGGTTTGTAAATTTTAAAGTATGCGTGTGGATATGTGATAGAAAACAGTATAGTATCATCTTGATTTTTTGATTTTTTTATTTTTTTATTTTTTTAATTTGACCAGAGAGAAAGAAAGGGAAAGCTAGAAAGCAAGCTGCCAGGTTGGAACTTGAACCAGGGTTGGCCATGTGGGAATCCAGTGCCCATATCCACCGTGCTACCTGCCAGCCCCAGCATCATCTTGTTTTTAAGTTTGTAATATTAAAGCTTATCTGGGAATAGGTGATTTTTAAAAATAAATTGTGGAAGAAAGAATAGAAAGAAAAGCTAAATGGAATGCTCTAGATTGCTTGGCATTGATTTTTTTTTTTTTTAATTTTTTGAGAGATTTTTGCTATTGGGTCTGTGTGCTCGCCAGAGAGACAGAGACAGAAAGCGAGAAATCACTCCCCAGGAGGGTTGGCCATGTTGCAGTCCCTCTTCCAGTCTCCTTTCAGGATTTTTGGCATTCATATGCACACACCTGGTGTGAGTTTCAAGCCACTGGTCCAGAACTCAAATTGCAGTCGACCACTTTGGAGTTCACCTTAACCACTACACCACCTGCTGGCCCCAGCATTGACTTTGAAAGTGTCCAAGGAGGGGCTCTCTTTTTTCTTTTCTTTTCTTTTTTTTTTTTTTTTTAGTTTTGCTAGAGAGTATATGCACTTGCCTGAAAGAGAGTGAGGGAAAGTGAGAAAGCTCCCTCCATGAGGATGGCCATGCCACAACCCCTTCTCCATTTCTCCTTTTAGAATTTTGGGCATGCCAGGACCAGCAGTTAGCATAATAGCTATGTCGCTGGACT